GTTCCTTTTGAATTGCTCTTACATTTCAACACACAACTTTGACTTCAGTCAACAGATTAGTCCCCAACCCATTTATTCTTCTCTCATTTTATGTTTTTATACATTTTCCTCTCACTCTGTCTTCTCTTCCATTTTCACACATCAAAAGAGCTTGATGCCTTGACAGGACGGGCCCTAGAAACTTGCTGCCTCCCTCCAGACCTTCCAGTCTCTGCTCCCTCATTGAACTGTTATCTGCTCCATTTCTGGGATTTTCCATGGCAACCAGGAGCCAGCGAGCGTGTGAGTGAAAAGAGTGAGGTCTCCAGTGGAGGAAGTATCTTGTCTCAGACAGCTGTCTGCTAAAAAGACAAAGAAAAGAGGGGAAAAAAACAACAAAGAGAAAAAGGAAAGTTTGGGAAAGTTGTTTTCCTCCCGTTAGCATGAACAACAACCTAAGTGGATGTATTTTACCACACAGTGAGCTACAGTTCAATTAAACCCTTTGACCAATCTCAATCCTTGACCTCGTGTGTCTCTGTCATGCTTTTTTATTAAAAAACAAACAAACTGTATTGCTTACTTACTTTTAGTGCTCTGGTGACAAACACATTACAATAGTGCTCTCCTCTTGATCGGTTCCTAAGCAACCTGTTCACTTGATGCAGGCTGCAACTGCTGACTGACAGTCCTTAAAGTTTCATCCATGGGACCCCCTCAGTGGAAGTAACCCACATTTCTCTCTATTTTAAGATTAATGTCAGATGTAAGGTCTTACCAAAACATATGGGCCTCTCCACTCAACATGTATCAAATGCAGACTGATTTCCCTGGAAAGTCAACATGAACACTTGATTTCTCACACTAGAGCCTCTCTTTACAATCCTTAGCCTCTCCTCTCCAGGTTCTTCACTTGGATGTGGAGCGACAAGACAACTTTAAAGTCAGGTTATGTCTGTGTCTTCCATAGGATTACACTAGATTCCCAGTGGTTTTAAACAGTCACACTCTGCCACTCAAAGCCAGACATTTTCGTTTGGAGCGTTTATTAAAGGAGCTTGGGAGTCTGTGGTGACAAGTGAAGCGTTTTGTGGAAACGGAATGAGGGATGGAGAAGAACAGAACTCTGCAACAAGGGTTTTCCTTTTTAAAAGTTTCGGTCTCAAGACTTTCACAGCCTTTGTCACTCTGTTTAGAAATACAGTCACAAACATAGCCCAGGGACATAGTGACCCTGAGGACTTGGAAGCAACAAAGAGTCAGAGGCAATCTGTGAGTGGCGATAGCCACAATTCTGTATGACGGTTTTCCTATTAAGTTTACTGTTTGTGGGGTGAAGTGAGCCTTCACTAACCTTAGTGCATATAAAATCTGATGAGAGTGCTCTTTGTTTTCTTTTCCTAATAAAACGGGACTAGAACATGGATCAGAGTGAAAACATAATCCAGGAGAAAGAGAAGCAATCTGATTTGGTATGTAAAATGTCCTGTCATGGTAAAAAGAAAAGAGACTCTCTGTCAATTCTAAGGTTTCACATTTATGGACATAATAGAATAACTAGTCATTACTAAGTGCATCCCACGATTCAGTAGTTTGTAGAGCCACCTTTCACAGAAGTAGCTTTAAGTACTTGTTTTGTGTCTGTGTGTCTAATGTCTCACATTATTTTGGCCCACTCTTCTTCACGTCATAGCTTCAGTTCAGTGAGGCATGCACACATTCATTTATGCACACTTCTCTTGAGGTGCCATAACAGCATTTCAATCATGTGGAGGTCTGGACTTTGGCTCAGTCATTGTAGCACCTTGATTCTTTTCTTTTTCAGCCATTCTGCTGTAGACTTCCTGCTGTGCCTGTGATCTTTGTCCTGTTTCATCACCTGGGTTTTTGCCAAGTTTAAGATAGTTTCAGACACATGATCTCATATTGCTGTGAAATACTTATACAAAGGAGTTCATGGTCAACTCAGTGAGTCCAAGGTGTCCAGATCCAATGGCTGCAGAACAAACCCAAATCATTACCCCTTCACCATCTGCTTGAGAGATTTGGTATGAAGTGTTTGTGCTGATCTTCTTTCTTTGTTTTTTCCCCAACCATGGCGCTGTACATTATGGCACGACATTTCCACTTTCGCCTTATCTCGGGGCAATCGTGGCTCAAGAGTTGGGAGTTCGCCTTGTAATCGGAAGGTTGCCGGTTCGAGTCCCGGCTCGGACAGTCTCGGTCAGTCCTTGGGCAAGACATTTCACCCGTTGCCTACTGGTGGTGGTCAGAGGGCCCGGTGGCGCCAGTGTCCGGCAGCCTCGCCTCTGTCAGTGCACCCCAGGGTGGCTGTGGCTACAATGTAGCTTGCCATCACCAGTGTGTGTGAATGGGTGGATGACAGGTTGTGTGAAGCACTTTGGGGTCCTTAGGGACTAGTAAAGCGCTATACAAATACAGGCCATTTACCATTTAATTTCTTCCAGAACTCTTTTTTTTTTTTTTTTTTCTGATGCAACTTTGCAAATCTATGTCAGGAACCATTCTATACGAACTATATTTGTTCAGACTTTTTTTCTAAATGCATTGTCATGAACTTTATCATCGAGCATGTTAACGCAGGGCTTGTAGAGTCTGACTTGGAGCTCTGAGGGTTATTTTATTGCAGTTTCTCTGAACATTGGACAGTGTTATTTTGACTGGAAGACTGGCTCTGTTTTCCGCTTGTGAATAATCTTTGCCATTGTAGAATAATGGCCAACAAATGATTTGGAAATGGCCTGATTACCCCTCCCAGCTAAGATAAGATAAGATAAGATAGCCTTTATTAGTCCCAGAGATGGGAAACTCACAATGTTACAGCAGCAAAGGAGACAGGGCAGGAATAAATATATAGATGCCGCATACCCGAGAGTAATAATATTATAAATGTATGTACATATACATATATATGCTAAATATGTGTATATATGATACAACAATGCACTATACTAGTAGCAGCAGAATGAAATATTTAATAGTGGAGCGGTTGGCTGTTAATAGTAATAGATTGATAAGTTCTTGTGAAAGATTATTGCTGATATTGTTCCTTTTTGGTGCCGTGTTAACACACTTGAAAATATTAATTTCAGCTGATTTAAGGACTTGAGAGTTATATAGCAGTTTTCAAAATAGCGACCCTCCCAGTGTAGACATTCCTTAAAATGTCATTAAAGATTTTGTGCACAATAAAAATACAGCATTCAGTATGAAAGTGCAGTAAAAGAAGGTACAATAAAAGCACCACAAGTGTAAAAAACACACTATGTAAAATGCATAAACCTATAGTCTGCATTTTTATTGCTACCGTTTGGAATCTCAGAATGACAGTTTAACAATTTGTGCTTCTGACTTCCACTAAATTGTAAGCAACACCCCTTCTTTTCTCCCTTTACCAGTCGTTACTTCTATGTCTAGTCAGTGTTTGTAACAACAAGCTTGCAGTGAAATCCCATGTGAAAAGCAGCATTTATCATCCTGCAAGAATAGAACAAAAACTGGAAGAAGCATAGCAACATCTTTTTCCACCATCCATGGTTTCCTCAATGTAATCTACCCTGCGATGCTTGTGAAAACAGAGAAACGCTCTCTTGCAAACTGCCTCCTCTGTCAGTTTTACTGTGTTTATCTACTCCTTCTGTCACTCTCTGCAAAATAGTTGGTGAGACTATGGATCCAGTTCATGACAATCCATCATTTAAGACAAGTATACACAGTAATCTATTTTAAACAGCAGGGTATGACACTGATGATGCATGGCAGAAGAGGCTGTACAGAATACACACTTATGCATATTGATAATCAATTTTCTTCATTTTAACCACTGCAGGAAAAAATAAAAGTTTCCGGGTGCCACTCTGTGCCGTGTTCTTTGAACTTAGTAAATGCACACTGATTTTCTGTATTGCCATTACTCACTATTTAGAGTACTGGGATTGACCAAAATAAATGAAGCAAATATGCCGAAAGTCTTATTGTGTATTGATCTGTCAAAGCTAGACAGGTGTTTTAGTTACACAGACAAACAGAGCTGCTGCAGAAGAAAAAATAATCTAATTGCACCACAGCAACTTTAATGTGCGGAGCTACACAGCTACAGTATATAACACAGACGAAAGCAGTGTATTCATGTGTTTGTGGCAGAATATAGGAAGATAAAACAAGAGGTGTGATGACAGAGTGACAGTATTTTCTTCCGTGTAGCCTTCCCTTAGCATTTTTATTTATGTTTTTGTTGAGTTGTTAAGCAAGTGGAAAATATTACCATGGCAACATGGAAACTGTCCAATGACATGGCACAGCAGTCCTTGATGTGGCCCATGGCATTTCAAAATTTTAAACATCTGTGTCCAGCAACACTTTATCTGGTGAAAATGGAAAATTTGGTTAGCAACTTTCTTTTAAAAAATTAGTCTAAATAATTAACGAATCATCAACAGGTAGCTTCTACTTCCTGTGTCCTGCAATTTCTCCATACTCAAATGTGCCTTTTTTCCCAGCTGGTTCCCACCAGTATCCCATCATCACACTCCCATTCTTATGTTCTCAGTGACTGTAATGAATTCCAGACCATTCTTTTGAGATATGTGTAGGCTTTCTTCTTGCTTCCAGCTCCCATTGCTACAATTTCAATCTTCCTGCCAGTTTGATGGGGCTGCCAGGTGCTTCTAGCTAAACCATATGTCCTTTGACACTCTGTTTTGGGGATGGGGGAAACGTGGAGAAAGGGGGGTTAAAGAGGAGACTATCTGGAACTACCTCTGAGAAAAACTCTCCCTAAAACTCAGTTGGCTGACATGTGGCAAAAACACAGGCCACCAAAACAAAACTCCGGTTCTAATTCCTCTTTGCGCTAGGCCTGAGAGAGCTATAGATAGAGGGATGGCAGGGAGCTCTTCACTGTTTCCCCGTGGGGTCGGAAAAACAGATCCTGTTTCAGTGAGCCAGTTGGCTTGGTGTGGCGCAGTGACCGCATCGCCATCTTCGGCTCAGTCTGTCAGTCAGTCACAGTCTGCTGGTCTGCAGCTCCAGTGGTCAGGCAGGAGTTCATTCTTTTCTGGTGTCTTTGTCTGAATGTTTTTCTGAGGGCCAGACAATCCTTTCAACTCTGAAACCTCAGTCTCTGCCTCGTCTCTGTCTCCGATCCAGGGCTGTGATTCTGCGCTGAACTGGTCACACCATCGTTCAAGCGGCTCCTCCTGCCTACAGGTAAGGCCTGTAAGCCTAGTGATAGTTCTGCTTGCACAAAGGCATAGTTACATGTATACACACACACACACACACACACACACACACACACACACACACACACACACACACACACACAGCAGATTTTTAAAATCACTTACAATGTCTCTGCAACAGAGACATAGCATAAACAACAGCTAAATGCCCCCAGAGAAGAAGCTGCTTTTGGCTGCTCCCTTATCTGTATTCTCTCCAGTGCAAAAACCAGTACGACACAACATACATTTTTATACTGAAACTCCAATGTGAGATTCTGTGTGTATGTGCTGAGCCTTTTGTCATTTTGCCGCACTAGACGGACGTTTTCCCAGAAGTCCATGGAACCCAGCAGTGACCTGAAGTTACCAAGTCTCTGGGATGTATTGTGGCAGACTTTAAATGTGAGGAAGAGAAACTCTCATCACCCATCACCTCTGTGAGATGAAAGGCCCCAAAAGCAGCCAGCCACCCTGCTGGACACAGCTCAGCTGTTATAAGAAGTGTCTGACAGAAGTGGCAGGTACTTGACCTTCTCTCTAGCTTTTTTCTCTCTCACTCTTTCTCTCTTCTTCTCTTTTCTCACACTCTCTTTCTCTGTGTCACTGCTTTGCCACAGGCTGACCACTCACGCCTCCCCGCCTCGTCGGTGTTGTCAGAGAGCTAACAATCCCAGCCTGCTGTGCTACACCTGCATTTATTTGTTTATTCCCACTGACTTCTAATAAGTACTCCTCATGAGTCCTTGTGGTGGCGCTGATCTTGACGCTGTGCAGTCCTACTTTCTCCACCTTATTACTACAGGGGTCTCATGGCTCAGGGAAATTTATTGGTGAGTTAATGTCAATAGTTGGTCCAAGAAATTAGAGGATGGACGCGTTTCTGCTCAATTCACAAGTAAAAGAAAGCACTGGGGATTCGAGTTTTATAAGCATGGTTTGTGTTACTCAAGTGGAGTTAGATGAAGAGTACAATAGCATCTACAGACTAAATCAGGGGAGAATTACAGTGGCAAACATTGCGGGTTACCTACTGTATTCCGAGCCTAGATCTGCATGTCTGGGTGGGGAGGGCAGTTGAATTTTTAACAACCTTGATGCACATTTCCATTTCTCCTGCAGACAGTGTCCCATGTATTCATCTCTCCTAACAATGGCGAAATGTCAGCATACTTTCAGGCTGGTCTAAATTAAACATTCATCCCCTTTGAGTATACAGCTATAGAGCTGTTCTTGCCATCCCCTCCCACACTCTTTCTTTCTATTTTCATATATAAGGGTTCGTCCAAATGTGGAACGAGAACAAGACACTTTCTCTCATTTTAGGCCAGATGGTCAGTATGTAGCGTTTAAATTATTTTAAGTTTGCTAATATGCTAAATAACACTTCTCTGGCTGACTTTCATGGTCACATCCCAAAAGTCCCAAGCCTTTATATGTGCAATGGCCAAGAAAGTTGAAGACAAGACTTAAGATGGGGAGTGGGATATTTTATTAATGGGAACTATTAATATTCCATCGCAGGGGGATGATGGCGTGTTTCTTTTTGCAGAAGCATAATGAATAACTGAGCGCCTCCATGGTACCCGATTCGTAGGCATGAATATTCAGGCTCTGGCGATGTATCATGGGAGTGTTGGGAGCCTCTTCTCTACCCTATAGTGGATCACACCCAAGCTCTTTGTCTCACCTCTCTACTCCTACTTTTATTTCTTTCCATGCACATTCAGCCAATGTCACTAAGGCCAGCAGCATCTTGAGACCGGCGACTATAGATCTAATGCTTGGCTCTCAATAACAACCGTCCACAGAGGCTGGATTGATTGATTACACTACTGTGGCTTTGTGTGGGTTTTTAATTGATTGATTTATAGTGGGCCTATGATTGATTATGAGTAGTCAGCAGTGGGTTGGAGTTGGGCTGTCAGGAGGACACAGGGTGAGAGGTGAGCTCTTGTGGCCCCTGTGATATGTTTGTTCTTTTATCCAAGAATCCCACTTTTATGTGTAACACTTGGTAGAGCCACATTTTGTCCTTACCTCGGTCACCTCTCTGGAGCTCTTTTCTCCCTAATTTCAGTGAATGCGCGCCTGTGTTCACATGTGGTGTTGCCTGGAGCTCTGTATGTCCTGTTCTTGCCAACAAAATGTTCAGTAATGTCAAGTTTGTGGTATTCAGCAGGTACAACAAAGACCTCCTTATAAACCTCAAAGAACTAACTCTCACAGTGCCTGTGTAGGAAAATAAAAAGAGATCAAGCATAAAAAGGAGAAGGGAAAGGGAAAGATAGAGAATCACATGACATTTCAGAGGGGGAAAAAAAGAAAGTATTACCCCGCTCTTAACATCCCATTCAGATATAACGCTGAGGAAAGAAAAACTATGAAGGACCAGAAGAAAGAATCAATTTGGTAACATAGATCAAGAAGGGGAGACAGTTAAATGCAATGGCAAACAAACATTTCGACAGTAGACATCCCATTCTCAAATGATACACTGTCCCAGTGGGCCAATTAATAACAAAAATCTATGCTTATTTCCACTCGTAAAATCAGGCCGGCCGAGATTAGGGGCGGTTGGTGTGCTACCACCAAGACAAAAAGCCTGAATGTATCAGTCATTTCTTCAAGTTTCATTAAAGTCTGATCAGTGTTGTCTCAGGATGTGTAACAGATAAACAGATGAATGAATTAACAATAAGACAAACAGAGAACAAATGGATGAACAAACAAAGCGCAAACAAATACACCAAGAACAACAAAGAAGCAAAGAAACAATTCAGTGAACAAAAAAATGAAATAAATGGACTAAAGACTCTTGCATGGAAATGGGAAATGCACATGGGTATCAGTCATTGCTTTTTTGTCTTTAAACTCCCAATGCAGAATAAAAAGTATGGGACAAGCATCTTGGCAGCTGAAGGCTTTGTTTAATCACACATTAAATTAGCAATGAAACAATGACATGCATTTATTGTGTCATTGCAATTTTAGAAGTGTACAACAACAACATTGTGACTAGTTAGTGCATGTTAGTTTGATCATTTCCTCAGTGTCTGTGTGTATTTTAGTATTCTAGAGTGGGGGGAAAAATCAATTTTGATATACATTACTGTACAAAATTACTGTCGAAAAGATGTTATTAACTGTGGTGAGCTTGCTATTAATATTACTGGAGAATGGCTTTGTGTGTTCTTATTACACTTGTGGCTGAGACTGCTGTGATTTGAAACTGAGCTAATATCTTTAAGTCAAGCGATCTAACAGCACAAAGATGCTAGGCAGCTATTAGGTAGCTATTAGAGGCAGATATTAAAGGGAATCTGTGCGCCGCATCGGCCTGGACAGTGTAAGATTCTTCACCAAGAAAGAACATTATTCCTGATCCTAGAAACCTATGCCTTTGCAATGCCTCAGAGAACCTTGCTGATCGTTGCTCACATACATCCAAATATGCAATATCTTTTCTTTTAGTTGAAGGTAATATGCAGTAATCTAACACTGCTACTGCTAATCCTTTTTTTCAGACAAAGGGTTACTGCACAGAAAAGAAACAAGAAGAACCCATCCTCTTGTTATCCTGATGCAATTAGAGCCCATGAGTGGCCCTCAAATGCCAGTTAAAGTCTGGAGGATGTCATCCAAACTTTGTTATGGCTCCCTGTGTCAGGTCAGTGATTATGGCTATCCTGACTTCTATTTGAAGACTGAATACAGTCTGCTTTCAAGAGGAAGAAGGAGAGGTATTACCCATAGAGCTGGAAGTTGTGCGCACTGCGATGCCTTGGCACTCTTCTTTGGTGTGGAAGTAAACTGCAGATGCTTAATTTGGAACATACACCCAAAACTTCTTAAAGTCTTTTTAAAACACTGGCTTCAGGCTCAAAAAGTTGTTTAAGGACCTGGTGGAGGGAGAAGAGCAAAGGACCTTTTGGCTTTAGCCCTGAAGTTAGCACAGGCAGACAATCCTGCTGCTTTACCAAGAAAAAAACATAATTGAAAGATACTTCCCAGATGGCAATACTGGTTGCTGGGACTGTCTAGGAGGTAGGAATACATGTGGCTGCATCACTGTAAAGCGTGCCCTTTATTAATTAACACAAATACAAGACAGGTAGTCAAATGGTCCTTTCACCTATTTCATTCTTTTGGACTTTGAAATGTCAGCATAGAATCTTTTCACTTGACCTTGTTTGCACTTTTTCCACATTAAATTAAAGATCTAAAAGTAAACATTTAATGCCTTTACTTCACTGATCTTATTCTTTTTGAGACACTTACCATGTTAACCCTGTTTTGCCATGTAATTTTTTTCAAATTCTGTTTATTAAAATAAATTTTAAAAATCCATATCAATTTGCATAGATATGTTCAGTTTATTTATATATATGCAAATAAAAGCATATAAGGTGGTTAAGGCTAAAAGGCTAAAAACATACGCAGTATGAGTAAATGCATAGGTAACTCTGTTAACCTATGCGTATCGCTTACTGATGCATCACAATAGCTATTATAATGTACTTAAAACTGATATTTGTGAATATGCTGCTAACTGGAGCCACCTGAGGATAAAGACTGATTTTGGAGAAGCTTACTTATGATGTGCTTTTGACTGAAAATTGTCTGGCAGAGGTCAAACAAGTTCACAGCCACTCCCTCTCACATTTCCTGATGCTGTCTCCTTCCTGGACAGCCCAGAAAGAGAGATGTGTGACTGAGTCACATATCACAGCCATCTGTCAGCCAAACATTGCCAGATGTGGCTGATGATATTAAAAGTGGCAACACTCAATATATCAAAATTCCTATGCTCAACAGCAGGGCAGGTCAAAGATCACATAAAATAAGGTGCCCTTTCATTAAAACCAAGTTTTTGGGTCTTTTTATAACAGACGGGAATAAGTAAATATGCATTCATTCTATGACAGTAACTTGTACTTTCTAAATATGGGTTCCTGCTGGCCAGGCAGATGACATGACTTACTGCAGAACAGCGTGGCATCGTGCCTTGAAGAGTAAACCTGAAGATGGAGGGCACATCGGTATGGTTTCCACTGACTGGATGCTATTAAAATCCCTGCAAATGTGGCTTTAAATATGAGAGTTCGATAGTTGTTTTTTTTTGGTTTTTTTTTTTGGGATAAAGGCCCTTTTTTTTCTTGCTAAAGCACAACAATAAGTGCAATGCAGTAGGTCTGCCATCGACTGTCTATTCACCCCAAGAACACTTGCTGTCTTAGCTCACAGGTACAACAGGACAAAGTACAAAAGGGCTTACTGAAGTGGAAGATACACTATAAGAAAACTTTATTCGAAGCACTTGCTTCAGCCAGTTATTTTGCTGCAGTGGATAGAAACATACAGATCAGGAACTTCAGTCAAACTTAACATCTAATATCTGATTTAGGAAAAATATCACCTGAGTGATCCAATGAGCAAAAAGTAAAAAAAAAAAAATCAATAGGAAATAAAACTGTCTGTTTTGCTTAAACAAAACAGACAGACAGAACCACATTTTCTCCCACTCCTGTCACAAATTCCCAAAACTAAGTCAAACATTTGTTCTTATTCATCAAAATTAGTTAAAAAATGTAAAACCTGAATTTTTTTTTTTACTTCAATTGCAGCGTCAGAGTTTCAGAAGTTGATGTCAGCAGCACATATGCATAGATCCAACCTGTACACTTCTTGCCCCTTACTACCAGTTCTCTGTTAATATGATGTCATAGCCTATTTGATTGGTTATAGTAATTTTATTGGTAAAGCACTTTTAAAATACAGGAAGTGCTTCACAGTTTGGATAAAAACACATTAAAAGTAAGTGTAGAGGCTTGTGTAAATACATCAATACATCATATTAAAAGCTGTCTAAAAAGGAGTTCATGAACATGAGAGTGACACCGAGTGATGCTTCCCAGTGACCAGAACTGATTAGGCTGATGGACTCAGTGGTGGGATTTTTTAATAGGGGAAATTTATTGTGCAGCAAATTTTAAAAAGAATTGTGTGTGTTTTAAGAGCAAATCATATTAAACGTAAAGCAGGGTGTTCCTAAACATTGGTTGATTAATAACAGATTAGAGATGCAATAATTAATAATGTTGTTCATGTAGGTTGGCATTTCTCATACTGAAAGCCTGATTGAACAAAATAAAATAATAAGTTCTCATGACCAGCTGTGTGTGCTTGGCTTTATCAGGTGATAGAAGTTACGGCCTGGCTGATGACAGCCCTGACCAACACTTGGTCCTTCTTGTGTGCAATTTGCACTCTGTCACCAAGTGCACCTTAGGTTTTCTGAACAGCTGGTGAACTTTGGTAGACACTGCAGACTGCCAAAAGGGTTCTGTCATGTATTAAAATTCACATCAACACCGTCAGTATGGAGCCTTGGGTATGTTATCTGATGGATATGTTGCTTAAATTAAAGCAGTATCTATGATCATAGTCTCTTATTAATTTCCTTGGTCAGTGCTCTGACTTCAAATTGTAGTTAAAAAAAATTGTGAACCTATTTCATCTAACTTTAGGTTCTTTCTTCATTTTTAACAACTTGTGCCTTTTCTCTGTTGGCAGTTACAGTCGAAGTAGATATATATTATAATTAAGTATTTGTTGAAGTATACTGTGTGAAAAAGCACAAACAAAACAAACAAAAAAACAACTTCCTGTACTCAAAAGTGTTAAGGTTGCAGAATTGGGATCCAAATGCATTGCTTCCAAAAGCAGACAGACGTAATAAAAAAAGCAATTGTGGATTTAGTTGATGCAAGGCCAAAATACAAGCTAAACAATATCAAACCTGAAGCACATATGAAGATGACACACTCTGGCAAATAATAATAAGAGAACCAAGCAATCAGGGAATGAAAGAGAGGAAGCTAAATGTTCAGAGGACACAACAGAAAACTTAACCTTTAAAGTAAAAAAAAGAAAAGAAAAGTAATTCAAGAGAATGACGCAGGCCTCAAAAAAGACTGAACAAGTCTGGAACAATAAGAATATGACAAAAACTCCTTTTAACTAATAAAAATATACTTGAACCAAAACAGAGACTCATTACTTGAATACAGAAACACAAGAAACGAAGACTTTATGTTTCAGGAATTAAGACCTTGAAATGTATAGACTGAAAAAGAAATTAAACAATGAATCATAAACCCAACCTAGCGTTAACAAAAGAAAAGAAAAAAGACTAAGAGCATAAGGATAACAGTGAAAACAAACCCTAAACCCTTAATAACCAAAACCCCAACACTCCAGATCCCACAGACCATGACACAAAAGTAAGCAAGAGCGCATAGAGTATCAAGTTAGTGCCCAACACTGCTCATAGGTACTTTTGGGCCGAACTTGTCTTAAAAATTTAAGTCAAGTGTGATTGAAGCTTGTGGTGTTTTTAGGTGTTGTTTTGACCTGTAGAGCAGGAGGTGCATCTGGCTTTGGCTTTGGACAGTCTGTAGGTTCCCTGTGGGGCCCAGCAGCAGAAGCAGTAACGGAGTGAATGTTACTAACCCTTTCTACTTTCATTAGAGACAGAAACTAGAGGATTACTGCCAGGGGCAAGGCTAATGACTGTCATGCCCGCAGAAAGCCGATTTACTGAAACCGTGGCAGGAAGGCGTGAAGCCAAAATCTCCCACTAAGTCCCAGTGTGAGGGGCCTTAATAAAGGAGAGACTCTGCTCTATCGCCAGCTTTCTTCGGTGAAAAGTTGTGAAAATCACAAAAAAGTGTATGTAATACATGCATCCCCCCAAGTTTACCACCAGCATTAATCAACTAGTAAAAACAATGGCAAATGAAAGTACACAGAAAATTGCAAATATAGTTACCGAAATGATGACATTCCCTTACAGATCCATAAACCGACCATAAAACTCTCTTTTGCAGGCAAATCTATTTTTGAGGAATTTGTAATTCCTTCTTATTTTCAAACTGGGAGCATGCAGAAATAAATAGTCCCATCGTTGGCACTAACTCATAAGACTGGAATCACTAAAGAGTGTGGTGAAATGATTAAGTAGGACAATACAGACAATGAATCTTCCGTCTCACAATAACAATACAGTGCAATGCATGTGTTTAAATGTTAATGCTCTTTGAGGCTCTGCACAACTGCTTGACGATATTCGTTTTTCCAACGTAAGAGTTTGGTTCTGGAAATAGAAGCATTTTATTTAACTAGAGCATCGTCAGTTAAAACTCTGTTGATGTGATGCTAAAAAGAGGGATTGCACAAAAAAGTGTTTTTGTAACATATTAAAAAGCAATGCAAAGTGGGAAATTCAGCACTCAAAGCAATAAGCGCTGTCCCAATTGCTAAGACACATTTATATTCAACAACACCATAGGGAGACTTTTCAGTGATATTTAAGAATATCGAATCTGAGGAACTAACATACATACTGCTACTTCTCATATTTAAACAGATTCCATTTTCCGTTACCTTTCTCCACCTAAATAGCATGCACATACACACAGGCTCGCAAACACACATGCCTAGGCATTGATTTGGCTGCTTCAGGGGCAAGGGAGAGCACTCACCGAGAAGTTCGGACAATTGATCTCTGGAGGGCATGAGATACAGGGCCCGCTTTCTTCTCTCCTTTCTCAGTCGAGTCCTTCACAATCTCTCACACACACTCTTCATCTCTCGTCTACTGGACAT